TGACATGGGTAGTAGAAAGATCATTGACCCCAATTTATAGTCGAGGTTCAGGAAGGTCAATTAATTGCTTTTTAGCCTCAAAGTGAAGGTTGGTTGGCCTCCTAGAAGAGAAAGTGAAAAGGCTGGAGGACCAGAGGATCAGAGCTTTAGAACTGGAAGGGACTTTAGAGGTCACCTAGTCTAATCCCCTCATTTTATATATGGGGAAACTGAGGCCCAAAGAGGTTAAGTGATCAGCACACATCCAAACAGGGATTGAGTAGCAGAACAGGGAATCAAAGGTATATCCAGATAAGAAGAAAGATTGATCTACTGGGGGAAACGATGGCTAGCATTCCGGAATAAAAAAAATGCACTGGTTCTGGATCATCTGTTCATTGCTTGGATAACGGAAAGGAGACTGCATATTCTATCTTACTAGCCTTCCAATAAACTTCCACCTAAGTCCCTGCCCTTATGCCTCATTAAGTCCAGCATCATTGAAATTGTTTGCATCAAGTTGATGAAGCTGCCATTAAATCCTGAGCTGTTGAAGGCTGGGCCAGCAGGGCAGAAGCAGGGCCACCAATTTGGAAAGGCTTCAAGGGCAGGCCTGGGGATAGAGTGTGAGTCTGTTGCATGAGGACCAGCCTAGCTAAGTTTGGGAAGGGTGATCACCCCAGGGAGAGATTTATTTTGGTCATAGGAGATGAATGATTGTTTAAGGAGATGTGCTCTTTGATCCAATGACACTGGCCTCCTGTCTCTGAGAGATCCTCCATTTCTTAGCTCTGGGCATTTTCTCTGGCTGTCCCCCAGGCTTGGAGTGCCCTTCCTCCTCCACCCGGACTACTGATCTCTTTAGTTTCCTTTAAGCCTTCCTCAATCCCGCTTAATTCCAGCATCTTCCCTCTGTTAATTATTTCCTATTTATCTTGTATATAGCTCACTCTGTATATACTTGTTTGCATTAGATTGTAAACTCCTTGAGGGCAGGGACTGTCTTTTGTCTCTTTTTTGTATCCCCAGCATTTAGCACAGTGCTTGGCACATAGCAGGCACTTAATAAATGTGCATTGATTGACTGATTGGGAGGTACATTATGGATTCATAGGATTATTAGAGTTGGAAGAGATCTTAGAGTTCATCTGGGCTTTGAGGCAGGAAGACCCGGGTTCATCTCCCACTTTGGATTAATAGCTATGTGTTAATCTTTCTGTGACTCAGTTTCTCCATCTATGAAATGAGGAGGTTGGATTAGATGGCCTTGGAGGTCACTTTCAGGATTAACTCTATGATCCAATGAAGTCCTCTAACTTTATGGATGAAGAAATTGAGGTCTAGAAAATCTGAGCGACTTGCTCAAGGTCATCCAGGGAATGACTGAGAAATTCTCTGCATTCTGAGAGAGAACTGAGATTCAAATCCAGGGCCTCTGTTTCTCATTCCAGAGCTCTTCTCACCACGCCACACTATGTTGGCAGAGGAAACGACTCTCCTGATGAAATCCCAGATCTTTGGAAATACTGTGGTATTGAAGTAATTCTATTAATAACAATGATAATAATAGTAACAACTGGAATTCATAAAGCACTTTAGTAACAAAGCACTTAACATCCATTATGTAGATAAATTCGTGGGTCTAAATGTACAAACCACATTCACTCACTGAGCAGAGAAAACAATGGGCCTGAATCAGAATTCAGTTGAGTTTTACATTCTTTCGCTTTTCTGAATTCTCTTCTCCTTGTGGTGTCCCACTGGCCGTTGCATCCCCAAATGCCCCAAACTGGGCTTCTTATGGGATCACAGGATCGGAGAATGTCAGAGCTAGAAGGGACCGAATTGAATTGAGTGTGTACTATTTGTAAAAGGGATCCACTGCTTTGCCTTACTCATGATTTCTTTCTTCTTTTTTTTTTTTTTTAAGAAGGGGGAGAGAACTGACTACTATTCCAGGCTTGATTCTGACCAGTAAAGGGAAACTTGTTGCCAAAAAAAAGAAATTATGGGACCCTCAGGAGGAAGTGACCTCTTCATCTGAGAGTCTGTAATAGATGAGGGGAAAACCAGGCCTACTGTGATGGGAACCTTACATTTTTGGAGTACAGTTTTCAGAGATCAGAGAAAGGGCAGTTAACATCCCAGGGCCCAAAATTCTGCAGGGCAAATCCATCTAAGAGACAAGGAAAGCTCTGAAGAATGCCCACACATGCTTCCAGAGTGTCTACTCAACCCCCGGAATCTACACTCGATGATTTGCCTACAACCCGCCTAGCAATGATGGACATGGGATTGTGGTTTCCTAACAGGCACCATACATACTTCCTCGGCATTTTCCTCAGTCCTGCTCTCAGGCCACACCCCATATCACTCCCTGCTCCGGGCTCCTGGCTCCCTGGTTTTTCCCTGTGTCATTATCCAGTTGGGTTCCAGGCATTGAGGGAGTGGGAAATGGGGACCTCTTAGATCTTAGTAACTAAGTCTTCGGCGCCTTACCTAAAGTAACCCAAGATCAGCACAGCCACGGTAAGGGAGCCCAGAGAGGTGGAGTAGCCCACAGTGTACATCATTCCAAGGCGATCAAAGACTTCCTGAAGGTCAGACAGAAAAGAGTCAGTGGGAGGAGGATAACGAGGACCTCTGCCAGTCCATATTTAGGGTCACTGTGGGGAAAGTGTGCTGCCACATCGGGATCACCATCAAGGAAGGAAAGAGATAAGAGTCTTATCCTCAGGGAATCTTTTGGCTGAGGAGGGGGAGGCATAAATCCTGCCCTAAGAGGGCCTCTTGTCTAAGGGAGGGGGTGGGGGAACTGACACAGAGATTGCAGACATATAACAGTATATTTATAACATACAGATGTTTATATATATAAATGTGTGCATATACATGTATGTATATATTCTTACACACATGATATGTATTATATATGCATAAGTGTATATGTGTACACATGCATATATGTGTATATGTATACATGTATATACATGTATATACACACATATACATACATATACATATATATATATAATATGTTCGATTATCCTTATCAGGAAGGAGATGAATGCTGAATGGCTTGGGGAGATGAGAGGCAGGAGGAATTAGTCAGGAAAGGGTTCCTGGAGGAAAATTTTGAACAGGGCTTTTGTTTTGTGCTCATTTCTTATGTTCCCCTCAGACCAGGGGCTCCCTGAAGGCAATATACTAATTTGCCCTTTCAGACTGGGGACTAGTGTTTCCCCAATACCTCCAAGAACCAAAGGCCACCTCCTTACCAAGGTGGGAGCTAGAACTTGGGGTTTATCCCTATTCCCTAGCCTTGTTGGGTGCAGTTGCCCCCTCAGAGGCTGGCCTGATGCCTAGAGCTGAGGAGGAGGTGGCTGATGTCACCGGGCAGGGATCCCAATGCTTCGTCTTGATCTCAGGTTCTGTACCACATGTGAGCCAGGGCTCTCCCCACCTCCCTTGCCCAGTGGTAGCTGAGCAGCCCTTCCTGGAAATCTCGCCACCGGCCAGGCCAGTGCCAACATAAGGGGCTGGGAAAGAGGGAATGGGAGTCTGGCCAGGTAGTACTGGGGCACTGGGGGAAATTTCATCAGGGAAGATGGAGTCTATAAACCAGAAGGCAGAAAGGGCAGATGGGGTAACCCAGCTCAGCAGAGACTCTCCACAGGTAGAATTTCTTAGTTTAGTGTCCTTGGTCTGGGGATGGGGAAGACCTGGCCCCCCTCTGAAGGGGAGGTTTGGAGAGAAGGAGAGACAAACAGATAGACAGAGACAGCCCTCTCTTCTGTCCTTACCTTTGCTAAGATTTGCTCCCCTGCTTGGAGTGAACGACCCCGCCCCCTCCCATCTTCTTCTATTGAAATCCCTCCCTTCTTTCAACTCAGATGCCTTCTCTTTCATGAAACCTTCCTTGATACAGGTCCCCCTGAAGCCTCCTGTCCATCCTGTCCCACCCCCCTTTGCTGGAGGTGATCTGTCCTCACATCTCCCCCTGGGGTTTGCCCAGACCTTTCATTTTCACTTATTTCAGCTTCCCTCTATTAGAGTTTTTCATGTAATTATCCTTCCCCCTCCTGCTCCCCTTGGAATAGGATCTCTGTCAAGTTTATCTTTCATATCCCCAGCACCAAGCACAGCACAGTTATATGATAAATGTTTACTAAATTGGCTTGAGGTAGATTCTAAGATGGAAAGATTGGGACAGGGACAGAGAAAGAGAAAGAGGGAGACATATAGAGACAGTGGTAGGGACAGAAAGAGGCACAAAATGACAGAGATGGAAGATCTATGAAGAGACAAAGAGAGACAAGAAAAGGCAGAGAAAAGGTTATACACCCAAAGAAACAGAAATAAAGTAAGCAAAAGGGAGAGACACCCAGAGGGAGACAGAGATATTAGGCCAAGATAGAGAGGAGAGGCAGATAGAGCTCAAGAAATGTTGAATTTGAGAGAGGGGAAGTTAGGGATGGAGAGGGGGAGGGGAGGGGCCAAAGGGCTGGCAAAGAAAATCTGGGGAGGTGGGGCAGGTCAGGGCCACGCCAGCGGCTGGTAGCTGTGTGATGCTCATTAAGGACGATGCAGCCCGAATGCTGAGCGGAGGGAAAACCAAGCTGTTGTTGTTGGCTTCTTGCCCTGCCCCAAGCCCTCGGAAATAAATCACAGGCAGGAGGCCCAACCCCGCCTGCTTGCCTGGCCACCAGGGCCTTCCCGTCAGGGAGAGAAGAGGGGGGCTGAAGCCCAGCCACAGACTGGGAGGAGAGGAATGAATCCGTCGTCCTGGTCCCCAAAGCAGGCCGGGGAGGCCCCCTCTCCCCTTCCTATTTCATTTCAGTCACTTTTCCCTGGCCTCTCCACAAGGGACATGAAAATTCCCATTGTGTGTTCCTCGGCAGGCCCTGCAGACTAGGGTATTGAGGGGTGTCAGCCATGAGGGGTTGGAGTCTACATCCCCTAAGCCTCTCCTTTGAGTACAGGTGTTGATTATATTGGCTAGTTATCACCTTGGAAGTCCCTTTGAGCAAGTCCTACCCCCTACATCTGGCACTTATGGTGGGTTCCAGGCTCAGCTCTGATGTTTACTAGTTCTGTGATCCTTGGTTGGCTGATTAACCTGATTAATCTTCGAGGCAGGGATAATCACACTTCTTATCTCACAAAGTCTATTGTAAGGAAGACACTATAAATCTGAAAATGCTAAAGGAAGTGTGAGTTATTGTTAAGGACAGAAAGAGAGGGACAGAAGAAGAAGAAAAGGGTAAAAGATTAAGTTTTGGGCCTACCCTGCACACACACACACACACACACACACACACACACACACACACACTCATACATACACATATATGTATATATGTATATCAATATATGTATGTATGTGTGTACATTATCTATATATCTATCTGTCTGTCTGTCTGTCTGTCTGTCTATCTATCTATCTATCTTTCACCTTCCCAAAGGATTGAACAAGAGGAAGTGAAGCTCTGGTTAGACCTGGTGGGATTGAGATCAGACACCAGGAAGAACATTCAGATGCTTATTGGGGAATATTACGAATTATACTAATCCATCTTTGTATCTTATCCCCCTACCAGACTGTCAGCTCCACGAAGGCAGCAATGTTCTTACCTAAATCTTCTGTCTCCCTCAGTGACTAGAACAGTGCTCAGCCTCAATGGTTAGAGAATGTGTGGTTAAGCGGAGAGGTAAATGGTGAGGACAGTGGTGGTGGTGGTAGTAGTAGTGAATTCACCCTTTCTGGGAGAGCTTGAAGAATAGGAGAGGCTTGACTCTGTTCTCTAGCACTGAACCCCAGTTCAACCCACCCCAGCCCATTTGTGGCTGTGCTAGTCACCATGGGAAAACAGAGAAATGATGAGATGGCCACTCGTCAGCCTAGGGAAGGAAAAGTGGAGGAATAAGGCAGGACCTTAGGGCCAGCTCATGGTTTCTTTAAGGTTCTAGGGGCAGTGCCAAGCCCAGAAGGCAGGGCGGAAACCTTGGCCCAGGAAGTTGGAGCTCTGAGAACTATCTCCTAGGGACCTTGGGAGAAGGTGTCACTACCTCCCCTAATGAGTAGATCTGTGGCATATCATTATCTTTTTCTGATGCAAAGGGATAAAGTTGACCCTTCTCTTCACCACGATCTCTATGTCATCTCACTTTGGTCTCTGCTTTACTCTGCTTGGGTGAAGAAAGAGAGGGACAGAGCAGCCCCTTGGTTTTCTAAGCAAACTACAATGTCCTCAGGTTTCCCCCTTTATCAAATATTCTGGCCCTTTGTAGGTAGGGCTGGGAATAGCTTTGAGAGGGATCCTGGGGAGGGTGGGGAGAGGGGGGCAGAGGATTAGAACTAGGTGTCTGGGATACTTTAAACCTCTAAATAGCCTCTTACCCAACTGTCTCTAGCTTTTATTTAACTCATTTCCTGTCTAAGAACTTTCAATAGCTCCCCATTGGAGGATAAACTCCCCCCATCCTTTAGTCCAGCATTTGAAGCCCTCCATAATCTGGCCCCAGTTCTCCCATCCAATCGTCTTTCTCTTTCTCTATTTCCCTTTACTTCAGCTCTGCTGCTGCTCTCTTTACTTGCCCCATGCATAGGTCAAACTAATTTCTCTCCCTGTACTTTTGAATTCTCTCCCTCCTCCCTGTTCCCATAGGGTCCCTTCTAGCCCTGATGTTCAATAAGGCCCCTTCTTATCCTGACACGTTCCGAGGGCCCTCCCAGCTCTGACATTCTGGGATTTGTTTAGCTTTCTCCAATTACTCTGACCCTCACTGAGCTCCCTCCTTCAAATTCCTTTCCAGTTAGAACCACAAAATTTCTCAGTTGTTCATACATTGTCTTGTGTGTTCAAGATGCATGAGTTCTAGAGTGTAAGTTCTTTGAGGACAGTGCTATATCTCCCCCTTAGGTTAGGGGCTCCATCAGGGCAGGTCCTGCGTCTCTCCTTCAGACCAGAGGATCCCTGAGGTCAGGAGCTGCACCTCTCCACTCTGTGAGGGGAGACCTGAGTTCAGGGACTGAGCTGTCCATCTGGACCTTAAGTGACCTTTGGGAAGCTTGGTTCATAGCTGGTGAGGCACAGAGGAACATGACACGGTTGTCAGAACCCTGGAGAGAGCAAGGGGGAAGGGTCAGTGAGGGGCTGGGGAATTCCCCAGATTCTGAGCTAAGTTCCCCACTGGGCACAGAGAGAAGGTGCCCTGTGCTTGGGTCAGAGTTTAGAGCAGGGGATGAAGACATAAACACGTACCCGTTCCCGGGTCTCGTTGTTCAGAAACTTGACACACTCGGTGTAATTCGCCCATGTCAGGTTGTTCCCAGGCACCAGCTCCCAGCTGCCATTGCTGTCGCAGCGCCGATAGGCTCGGCCTGGCCAAAGAAGGGAGAAGGGACAGGAGGCCCTGTGGGTGAGGGGCTGGGCCAGCAGGCCGCTGGGACCATTCCTCCCCATTCCTGGGGAGTATTCTTCCGCCAGAAAGCCTTTCTGTACTGTCACTGCCTCCTCAGCTCCCCACTCTCCCCTCCTTGGTGAGACACGAAAGAGGGCAAGTATGTCCTGCCCAGTAACTCTGAGGGATTCCAGAAACTGCCTCAGTTATGGGGACAGGTATTCTGGAAAGGACGACAAGGAAAGGGTGAAGACTGAATTAAGGTGAGAGAGGACACAGGAAAGAGGACAGGAGAGGCGGTGGAGGAGAAGGAAGAGGGCAGAGGGAAAAGCACCACGAAGAGAGAGGAGAGAATCAGGAGGACTCAGAAAAAATAAAAGACAAAGAGAAGAGGCAGAAGGGAGAGAAGAGAAGGAAAGAGATAGTGAAGAGAGAGCTGAAAGGAGAGGAAAGGTGAGAGGAGAAAAGCTGAAGAAGAAAAGACAGAAGGATGAGATAAGAGGAAAGAAGACAGAAGGGAGAGGTGAAGGGAAGATGAGAAAGGAAAGAGGAATGGCACGTGGAAAGAAAATTGAAGGGAGAAGTCGGAGAAGAAGAAAGAGATGACAGAGGAGGGAGGATTAAGAAGAAAAAGGAGGGAGAGCAGAGAGAACAGAGAAAATAGGAAAGGGAAAGAACAGAGTGAGGGGAAGAGGGGAGAGAAGGAAGAGAAGAGCTGAGAGAAGGGAGAAAGAAAGATGAGAGGGAAGGGAAGGGGAGAAAAGTCACTGAAGAAACCAGGTTCCAGATATGGTCACTCTGCACCTGTGGACAAGGGAGGGTTTCACACCTAGCCCTCTAAAGCTCCCTTCTGGCAGTGGTGAAAGCTGGTAGCAGGGCTGAGGTGGGTGTACCTTTGTGGTTGAAGTCGTAGATGTAGTCAGGGCAGGGCACGGCCACCACCTTGCCTGGCACTCCAGCAGGCCAGCACAGAATGTTGTCCCACTCAGGTAGGCAGAAGCCATCTGTGGGGCATAGATACTATTGGAGACCCACGTGGTCAGACACATGGACCAATGTCCAGAGGCATTCCAGTGGGGGAGAGAGCTGGTTGCAGGCCAGGCTCAAAGCCTTACCCTCTCCCCACCCCTTACCCGTGGCTTGACTCAGAATCTGAGAATGTCAGAGCTGGAAGACCTTAGGACATACTATCAGAGTTGCAATGGATCTTAGAATATAAAATGCCACAGCTGAAAGGGCCCTCAGAACAGAACAAGAGACTGTTAGGGCAGGAAGGGACCTCAAAACATAGTACATAGATTGTCAGAGCCAGAAAGGACCTTAGAACAATAGTAACTAATGCTTTAAGGTTTGCACAGTGATTTGCAGATATCTCATTTTATCCTCACAACAACCCTGGGAGGTAGATGCTTTTATTATCCCCATTTTATAGATGAGGAAACTGAGACACAGAGAGTAACTTGCCCAGGGTCACACAGTGAGTAAGAAGCTGGGTTTGAACTCAGGTCTTCTTGAATTCAAGTCCAATGCTCTATTCACTATGCCACCTAGCTGCCTCCTAAGAGCAAAGGCTATCGAGATTATAAGGGACATTATTAGCACCTAGAACCCAGAATGCTGAAAGGGACCTGAGAACCTAGAATTTTAGAATAGAAAAGAGCCTCAGGGATTATGAAGTTCAACCCTCTCATTTTACAGATCAGGAAACAGGTTCACAGAGATATGAAGTAATTTGCAAGCTCACATAGCTAGATTTTTGTAGATCTGGGGCTAGAATTCAAGTCTCCTAACTTTTAGCCGAGGGCTCTTTTCCCCAATATAAATACCCCCCTCCCCCAACCTGTCTAGGGTCCCCAGTGATAGCTCCTCAAATCCAGGCCTTCCTTTCTCTTCCACCCTGCCTTGGTAATTCTTCCATCCCTTGCTAGCCTATCTCTCAGGGAGCTACCATGAAAAACAAGACCGTATTGGAAATTAACGTGCACTTGTATTGATAGCTGAGAATTGCTTCAAGTGAGTGAGACTTTCTTCTCGAGGGCCCCTGTGTAGCTAGAATAACGACTCCTACTTATAATGGCATGTTAAGCACTTATAGAGTGTTTCTTTCACCACCACTCAGTAAGACAGGGAGGTCAAATATTAGAATTCCCATTTTACAGATGATGAAATTGATACCCTGAGAAAGTAATATGCTCAGGGTCCCACTGCCAGTAAGTAGCAAAGCCACAATTCCAGTCAAAATCTCCTTGTTTTAAATCATCTGGCTGCTCTGCCTCTACAGAAAGTGATGTGGCGTGGGGTTGAGAAGTCTTGGGTTCCAGTCTAGGCTCTGTTATTTGTTGTATAGCCTCGGGTAAGTCCTTTACCCTCTCTGGGACTCCCCAGTTTCTATCATTAGTAATGAAGGCCTTCACAAGGAAGTTGTTGGGATAAAATGAGGCACCTGTAATTAGACATTGCTATTTTTTTTTTCATAGAGGACCCTAGAGAGGTGGATGCCTTAACCCAAAAGAAGGAAATGGTAATGGTGGACACTCAGGCAGTAGGCCAGGCTGACGTGGGTCCAGAGGCCTCCCTGGAGAACTTCCCACTAAACAGAGTAGATAGTTGCCTCCCTACCTGTAGTCAAGGCTGATCAGGTTACAAAACTGCTATGTGACCTCAGGTGGCTCATGAACTCACCATCTTGCTCGCTCCATTTCCATTGGGGGGAGTCCTCCCACCCCAGGAAATGCTTCTGACCCCTCTGCTAGCCTTTTCCAACTTTCTCCCCTCCTTCCCACCACAGGATACTAACCACTGGATTGTTCCCCCACCCCACCCCCACCCCCCAACCTGGAAAGAGGCCTTCACAGCCGGCCCCCATGAAAAGGGACTCTGTCCTAGGCCTGGTCCATCCTCTTTGCCACATCCCTTCCCAAGGCTCCCCCCAACTCCTGTTTCCCAAATACCTCACCCCACAATACCCCCTTGTCTCTTTGACACCCCCCCCAAACCTTGGCCTGCTGGGGGGAGAGTGTGAGGGATCCTGTGGCCTGGGGAGGGGGCCAGGAGGATGGGAAGCCACCCCAGGTAACCACTGCTCCACAGATGTGGCTGCAGCTGGAATCTAGCTCCAAAAGGCCACTGGGCACCGAATGATCTTGAGTTCTGCTTTCTCTATATGTCTTCTCTCCCTCACCTGTCTGTCTTGCTCTATGCCTTTCCTCTACCCTTTTTCCTCTTTTTCATTCTCTTTTTTCTTTCCTTCCTTCCATCTTTTCCCTTCCTTCCTTCCCTCCCTCCTTTCTTCCTTCCTTCTTTCTTTTCTCTCTCCCCGATCTCTTGCTCTCTTACCTGTTTTTTCTCATTTTCTCTCTCTCTCCCTTACACCTCTCTTTCCCTTAGCCTCTCTCTCCTCATTTCTTTATACAGACCTCTTTCTCTCTCTTCTCTCTGCCTTTTTCTCCCACATCTCTTACTTTCCTCACTTTTTCTTCAATTCCAGATCTGCATTTTTTTAGGGTTCCTGGCTATGATCTCCCCCTTCTCTCAGCCTGTTTTCTTTGGATTGTGGATAGGAGGGAGGGAACTGCCTTGGCTGGGAACAGGGCTTCCTCAGCCCTTTCCCACTCTCCTCCCCCTGGAACTATGTCCCTTCTCTGGGCCTTTTCTCTTTTCCAGCCTGGGCCAAAATTTTCCCAGCTGTCCTTCTAGGTCCCAGTGCTGTTCCTCTACCTCTTTCTAACTTGAGATCTCTTCCAGGGAGGCTTTCAGCATTAATCCCATGAGGAGTGGCCTCCTCCAGCTTCTGAAGGCTGGCTCTCTCTTCCCCCTCTCCACTCCCAAATGTCCAGATCCTTGAAATGTATTTAAAATCAATGCTTCACCTGAATATTTGTGTTTCTATATTATCCAGACAAATCTGTTTATCTGGTCTATAAGCTGTTCCCTGCTCCCCCCCCCCAAATAGTCTGGGGACTAAATCTGTGCCCCCTGCTTTGCCAGGTTACTCAGACTGAATCCTGGCTCTGACATTGTGTGACCTTGAACAAGGTATTTTCCATCTTTGGGGCTCAGTTTTCCCATCTATAAAATGATGGGGTTGGAGTCAATGAGTTCTAAGGTCCTATACATCTCTAACAATCTACAGATCCATGAAGCTTTCCCACCCTTTGGCCTCTCGGCTTCCTTAACTCTTCTCCATCCTTCTTATTCCAGCTCAGGGATTATCTCCTCCAGGAAGTCTTCCCTGCAGACTTCTGGGAATCCCCATTCTGATCTCTTCTTATCCCATGAAGCCCCATTGCTTCCACCAATGTCTTAAGTCTCCTTTACTTTGCACATGCTTATTCACCTATTTTAAGCAAACCCAGGAAAACACTAAGTGATTCATCTTGGGATTTTGGATCTGTGAGGGACCTTAAAAGATCACATACTCCCAACCCCTCATTTTACAAAGGGGGAAATGAAGGTCCGAAGGAGGGAAGTAACCTGCCCAAAGTCACAAAGCAAGGCTGTGGCCGAACCGTTACTAAAAGCAAAGTGTTCCGCCTCAGCCCTGAGCTCTCTCCACTACCCCATATTGTCTTATATCTTTGCTTCCTCCCATCACAGATCAGGTTACAATTAGATATGCAGAGAAGTCAATAAAGAGACAAGGTGGCAGAAAGGGAAGAGACAGGACCTGGGTGTCCCAGTGGACACCTGAGCCCTTCTTGCCCACCTGCCCCGGGGAAACAGTGGCCTATCGGGGTGGTACCTACCCTGGCGCCGGCTCCCATCAGAAACTTCCCCAGCCTCCTCTGCCTGGGAATAACGTTTTTCTGCAGGTTTCTCCTTCTTTGCCTTTCCAGACCTTGACATCCAGTCTTTGGCTGATTCTGCAAGTTCTGGCAGATAAACAAGGGGGTGTGTGCATGTGATTATTCGGCACAAAATCTCTAACTGGCTTCCTTGCCTCCCCTCACCCCAAATTCTACTGGGCCCCCCCATCTGATTGATATGAAACTACCTTCCCAAAGGCATGGGGTTGAACAAAATGACCCCATAGTACCTCGGAGAAGTGTTAGACCCCACTGAGTGTGGGTCTACTGATGCCTTCCTGGGTTGGGGTGGGGCTCAGTAAGCATTATGGTTGTAGAAGGACTTGTGATTAGTTGCAAGGGGATAGGGATGTATTGAGAAGCAAAAGTAAACCGAGGCAATGATGAAGTCAACCAAACTCCTGTGTCAATTAAAGAGCTAAAACTCTGTGTCCTTAAAAAAAATGTTTAGATTGCTTGAATATACGATCGATTGTTTAATTAGACTGAATTTCTGCATCAAGGAAGTGAAGGGAGGGAGGGTAAGGATAAGGAGAAAAGTGAAGTTAGAGGTTGTGTGTCTGTTGTCAAAGATCGAGGGAGCTTGAGTAGAGATGAAATCCATAAGAGGGCAAAGAGGATTCCAGGGATGGGCTCTAGGCACAGAACAGAAGAGTGGAGGTATTCTGTGAGCTCCTCCCTCCTTCCCGGCTGCCAGACCATCAATTAGGAGGGCAGGGGGATGGGGGGGAGGTAGATCCGTTTTGGGCCTCAGCCCAACCCCAGCTCCCCTCTCAACTAAGCATTGCTCTTAGGGGTTGGCCCTGTACCTGCTGGGGAAGGGGCTCCTTATCTGAGACTTCTGCTCCCAGGCAGGGGTAGGGAGGTCCTGTACATGGGGATGTCTGAGGATCTCCTCCCCCCCCCCCCACATGGAAGATTCCCAGCTTCTATCCTGGTTGGAAAGGACTTCCTCACATCTGACTCAAATCCCTCTCACTGCAGCATCAAGGCTGCTTCCTCTTGCTGGGCCTGCAATATCTGGAAACCATTGGGATGGCTGGGATGCTGTTGGATTGGCTGGGCCCTGGCCACAAAAGGGAGGGGGAGAGAGAGAGAGAGCAGGAGAGGAGAAAGGAGAAGGGAAGAGAAAGGGGGAAAGGGGAGGGAAGGAGAGAGAGACTGAGAGAGGAGGAGGGAGGGGGAAAGAGGGATGTGGAGGAGAGAGAGAGAGAGAGAGAGAGAGAGAGAGAAAGAGGCACACAGGGAGAGTCTGTCTAGACTGGCGTGTAGTATTTTTAAGCTGCTATTATTGTTCCTTCCCTTTTGCCTTGGGCCAGGTGGGGAACACATTAAAAGGAGGGGGGGTGTTTCAGGGAATCCCTGAGTAGTTTCTGCTGGGGGAGGGACAACAGAGAGTTGAGGAGGACATTTGGGAAGGGAAAGCGATGGGCGAAAAGTCTGGCAGTGGGCAGGCTGGCTGGGGCAGGAATGAGAAGGGGAGGGTCTTTGGATGGAAACTGTGTTTGTAGAAGAGCTGAGGAAACTGGAGTGGGTAGGGGAGGAGGAAAACGGGAGGAGGAGTGTGTGAGGTAAGAAAGAGACAGAAACAGATAGACAAAAACAAATAGCAAGGAATAGAGACACAGAGACATGCATAGACAGAGAGAAAGAAGAAGGAACCAGAAGGGATCTGTCTGTGTGTAGGGCTTGTGTGTATAGGGATGCATATGGTTCTGGGTTTGTGTGTTCTGTCCAGATGATGTCCCCCGCTGAGAAATCAAGGTGGAAAGGGGGAAAGTCAAGGCTCTATTCCTTACTGACAAGTTACCCTGCCCGAGGCCGAGCCCTAGCCTCGGTCACAGACAGAGCCCTGACTCCAGTCCCAGGCTGGACAGTCCCTGCTTCTCCATCAGACCTGTCCCCTTTTAGATTCTCAGAGCTGGACCTCTTTCTCAAAGAACTCCCCTCCTCTCACAACTCAACTTACACATCCTGCCCATACCTGTAGGATACTCAGTGGAGGTGGGAGGGGGACGGGAAGGAGAAGGAGAAGGAGAGGTAGGTATGGACCAAACCTAGGTCTGGGGGAGCCCAGCCCAGCTGTGTGACACGAGCTTCATCTCAGGACTAACTTTAATCTAGCTAAGCCATCTACAGCAGAACCGGTCACAGGCCCTACTCTAGGAAAGGAGAATCCTTGTCCTGACCTTACCCTCTCAAGTTAGGGTTGCCCTGAAGGCAGAGGCTGGGGCCGTCTCCCCCCAGACCAGGGGGCTCCCCCTCAGACCCAGGATTCGCTGCCCGCAGAGGCTGTCTTCTCCTTAGACCAGAGGCTCCTGGAGGACAAGGGGTGTGTCTCCCCCTCTGCCCAGCAGCTCCCTGTGCGTTCCAAAAAACTGAAGGAATGATTAACACTTAGCTTGGCAGCTTCTCTTCTCAAAAAAGAAAACCCTAGGGCTTGAATGACCCATGTGCCTCCTTGATAATGGAAAGTGAACTCTTACTGTGGAAGTCCCTCACTTCAGGTGACAGGGACATTGGCCTATTTCCTCTCTTGTCATATTGGGCACTATGGATTTCCTGACTGCCCCCATCACCTTCTAATACCCCCTCCCCAACCAGTCCCTGGGGGGCTGGGAACGGAAGGGAGGAAATAGCTGTGCCTGTCTTCTGTTTGGTGGCCTGGCCACCACTAATAATATTAGAGAGACAAGAATTGGTGGTTTTAATGGTGCCTAATTAGCCCCAATTAGTGCTTCCTGGAATTGTAGTCTGGGCCCCTTAGGGAGCAGAGAAAGGGGAGGGGAGGAGGAGATAAATGGGTTGGAGGCAGTGAGGGGAGCAGCCACTCAGGGAGTCCTCAGTCGGAGGGGAGAGACAAAACCCTTTCTCCAGCTGATCCTCTGCACTAAAGGGGAAGGTTAGGCCCCTGCCCTCCGGGAGCCTTTACTGAGCAAAGGAGACAGGGACCCTGCCCTCAGGAAGTTACTGGTGTGAGCTGAGCAAAGTTATGGGCTCATCTAGGGTAGGGGAATGTTTGTACTAAAGTTAATGAAGGAGGAGGCTTCCAAATCTCAGAAGGAGTTTGATGAGTATGAAGACAGTAGGACAATCTTATTATGATTATTTGGAGGGGCTCCAGAGGACAAACCTAGGGTTAAATAGGTAGAAGCTACAGGGAGGCTGATTTTGGCTGGGTGTAGACGCAGCTGCCTATCGATGTGACAAGAGTGTACTGAGCTGGTCTGGGAGGTGGTAAGTTCCCTGTCAGGAGAAGGGTCCAAGTAAGAGCTGAAGGATCCTTCTCTCAGGGAAGCTATGAAAGGGGATTCCCACACTGGATTGTTCTAAACCTCTAAGATTCCTTTCAGTTCAGAGACTCGGTGATTCTGTTATTCCAAGACTCTAGAATACTTTAAGATGCTCAGTTTATGATTCTAAGAACCTACTTTCCAGGGATGGGCTTAATTTGCCACAAGAAAGGGTCTCAGCAACAGTATCAAGTGGGAACAGCTTTGCCAGGTGTTTGGGGACCTTTCTATGAGACTGGATTCCAATGCCATCCTCCCCCAGCTTTGTATAGTAGAAAGACCCTTGGACTTGCTACCAGAAGACCTGAATGTGAGTTCTTTGTCACCTAGGAGATGTGCAACTATGGGCAAAGTACTTAGCATCCCTGTACCTCAGTTTTCCCACCTGTAATATGGGAAATATAACATTTTATGCCTCCCCAATCAACCACTGAAAGTGTGCTCTGTTAGAGACATTTTGTGAGCTAGGGTCTGAGCCCTTGGACCATGACCTTTGCATGGCCTCCTTGGAGATACCACACACACACACACACACACACACACACACATACTGGCCTTTTTCTCTCTCCTCACATCAACCACAGCAGATTCCTTTACTGGTCTCCCCTGCTATTCCTCTCCTTCCCAGGAGGTTATATTCACATATAGCTACCCAAACAACAAACAAAACAATCACATCCACATACAACTGCTTGCACAAAACCACATGCACACACATACAACCAGACACAATGCAGCAAATGATATGCACACACTTACATGCAACCCTCCCCCCACTGTAACTAAATATGCAGCCACACAGCATCCACATGGAAGAAGACCGAGGGGAGATGCCCTGAACATGACTTGAAGTTCTGTCCCACCCCAGTGAAGGCAGGTATCTGGAGGGGGGCTGTATCCGGAGGGGGACTGAAGAGAGAAAGCTCGATCTGGGAAGGGGCTTCTCGGCAGCCCAGCTTTTGCTTTCTTTCTTCCTCTTCCTTCCCCCGTGGCAGCCTCAGAAGTGAGGCACGCAGGAAAGAGCTAGTCTGCTGTCATGCTGCATGCTGGGAAACTCCTAACTCACCAGAGACCCTGAGTACCTCCTTGACCAGCTGCTCGCACTGGGCGTGGGCATTTCGCAGGAGGACGATCTGATCCTCCTTGGTTACGACATCATCGACATCCACCTATGGAGAGAAAGGAGGACGAAGGGTGGGTGGGTTAGATCACAGGAAGGACTTCCCCAGCAGAGAAAGCGCAGGACCCTTCCTCTGGTGTCCAGTGAGGACTTCCTGCTCCCTCCCTCCTTCCTCCCTGTCTTCAGTAGACTCTTCCTGCTGGGAATTCATCGCCTCTATAGTCTGGAAGGTTTGTTATAATGGGAGTTTTGGGCTGGGAGTCAGGAAACCAGGGTTCGTGTCCTGATTTTGATCCATCACTGTATGAACTTGGCAATCCTGGTTACCCCTCAGAGCCTTGTTTACCTTGTCTGTGAAATGAGGAGGAGTAGGGGTAGCCCAAATGATCCCCCAAGATGTCATTATGGTATTATGTTTCATTTTCTAAGGACCCCGCTTAATTCCTTCTCTATGTAGTGTTTTGTGGTGTCACAGAAAGAATATTAAATTAAATTAAATTAATTTAAATTAAAGAATATTAAGTTAAATAAAGAAGAGTATAAACATTTATACAACACCTATTATGTATCAGATACCGTGTTAAATGCTTTAAAAATAGTATTTCACTTGATCCTCTCAATAACCCTGGGAGGAAGGTGCTATTATTATTCCTATTTTACAGTTGAGGAAACTGAGGCAAACTGAAGTTAAGTGACTTACTTAGGGTCATATAGCTAGTAAATGTCTGAGGCTAGATTTGATTTCCAGTCTTCCTGACTTCAGGCCCAACTCTCTATTCACTGAGCCACCTAGGTTTAACTTCTGACTTTGCCACTTATTAGCTGTGAGGCCTTAGGCCAATAGTTTCTCCTTTCTTAGCCTCAATAAAACTAAGGGGGTTGGATTCAGGCGTTCTTGACCTGAAGTTCTTGCAATTGTTTTTTTAAATTGAAAATTATTTTGATGATTTTCAAGTTGTAAACTGATGTATTATTTTATGCTTTTAGCAACAGGATTCCCCAACCTTCACTAGACTGCCCAAGGGGTCCAGGACACAAAAAGGGTTAAGAACCTCTGGTTCAGACAGTCTCTAGAAACTTTTTATTTTCAATAACTAGGTGACATTGACATTCTAAGGTTTACATCAACTGGGTAAGGTGGCTAGTGCAAAGATGATCATCCCAATTCTCTAGGGGAAACTGAGGCTTAGAAAAAGATAACATGATCAGTTGAACTAGACGACCTCTAAATTCCTTTGCTATCCAATGATTCTATGACTTGTCCAAGGTAATACATAGCTGGCATCTTGGTTTTCTGACTCCTATGCTGGCATTTTTCCACTCCCTCATGATACCCCCACCATCTCTTAAATGTGCCATAGGGAGTCATTGGGGGGGGGGCAGGAAAAGGGGAAAAGGTCCCTCTGGTCTATTACTGCCAATCAATTCTGGAGGACTCTTCTCTGGATATCCTCCAAATTCTTCCTGCTCATTTCCCCAAGAGGCATCAAGGTGGTGCAATGGATAGAGTGTTGGATTTGGAGTCAAGAAGACTTGAGTTTGAAATCTTGCCTCAGACACTTACTAGCTGTGTGACCTTGGGCAAGTCACTAAACCAGTCTCAGTTTCCCCATTTTTGAGGATAATCATAGCACTCACCTCCCTGGGTAATTGTGAGGATGAAATGAGATAATATATATAAAGTACTTTGCCAACCCTACAGTGCTGTCTAGATGCTAGGTATTATTATTATGTCTTAGACCTGACCATGCTGCTTCCAACCTCAGCAGCTTCCAGTGACTGGTTTTTCTACCTTAAACAAACAAAACAAAAAACCTTAATTGATATCTTTAAAAAAATACCATAGTCATTTCCTGATGGCCACCCTCCCTCCACCCCACTATACTGTTAAACTATTCCTGGAAAAAAAGAAAAGAAAAACATTTCAGGAAAATTGACCCACAAAACAATCTTGGCTGATAGTGTATGTAACATTCAGCAGCTATAGACCCCCACCTTGCTGCATTTCACAATTTCCCTCTTGTTTCTAGGGCTTGTGAGTGGAGAGGCCAATTCCCCTCCTTTGCCCTAATCCATAAAGTCTGATTCTTAGGAATTGCTCCTCATTGGATTAAACTGTTTAGATTGGGAAGAAACCTTAAACCATAACAATAATAACAGAACTAGTGACTGAGTCTAATAGATTCATTTACAGGAACAGAGGGGTTCATGAGAATAATATGAGATCAGGTCATTTCTACTAGAAATTACAGAAAGCTCATTCTTAAGGAGTCCAGACTTAATTTATTGATGCAGACTTTGCAAGGAAATAGTAGAAACTGTTCAACCTATCACAGCTGGTTTCAAAAGTGTAGTGCCTACCCATTACCTAGCAAGACTCTCGAGGTCCCAGAATTTATATGATTCACCAGGGTCTCTACTTCCTTTTCTTTCTGAACAAATACAGATCTACTACAAATGCCAACCTCAAAGCAGCCTTGAGAATTCTACAGATAAACTACTGAAACTGGAGTGTTATCAGAGACAAAATGATCTCTCTCGTTCCTCCCAAATATGACACTGACCCACAGAAATTTCAGAGCTAGCATCTTTTAATAGATGCTGCTATACTGAAAAAAGAGTAACCTTCAAACTATGTGAAGTGAAGATTTCTCAAAATACAGAGACCTAGTGAAAGCCTTCAAACCCATGAGAGACTGGAATGAGGTAGATATCAAACATGCACGAGGTCCTGTCTACTGCTTGAGTGATCCCAAGGATGCTTTCAGTTCTTCTAATGCTACATCTTAGTACTTTAATTCAATTATTAAAAATCAATCATTTTATCCACCTGTGCAATGGTAGCATAATGCTAAGTAATAATAGCTAACATTTATATAGAGTATTTGCAAAATACCTTACAAATATCTCATTTGACCCTCCCAACACCCCTGGAAGGTAGCTGGTATTATTATCTCCATTTTACAGATGAGGAAATTGAGGCAGGCCAAGGTTAAGGGTCGCACACTTATTAAGTGTCTGAGGTCACATTTGAACTCAGGTCTTCCTGGGGTCCTTCAGTGCTCTACTCACTTCATCACCTAGCAACAAAAGAATAATACCAGGAGAGTGACTTGTCCCAGGATCATTTCTATCTGAGCTCCATTGTATGCAAAGATGAGATTGAGATCCTAGCGTTAGCTGATGTCTGTAAACTTTAAAATTTACAAAGTACTTTGTATACAGTCATCTCACTGAATCTTCACAACAACCCTGTATGGTGGGTATTCTAGGTACTGTTCAGTCTTGTCTGACTCTTCTGGACCCCATTTGGGGTTTTCTTGGCAAAGATACTGGAGTGGTTTGCCATTTCCTTCTCCAGTTTATTTTACAGGTGAGGAAACTGAGACAAACAGGGTTAAGGGACTTGCCCAGGGTCATGCAGCCAGTTTCTAAGGCTGGGTTTGAACTTGAGAAGATGGGTCTTCCTGACTAGCACTCTGTGTACTATTGCGCCACCTAGCTGCTTTATTCTAGGTATTATCCTATTATTACAAATGAGGAAACTGAGACTCAGAGAAGACTATGGGTTTTGAACCGGAAGTGTCCATAAAAGCAATCCAGTCCAACTCTCTCATTTTACGAATGAGGAATCTGGACATCAGGGAGGTTAATCGGTTTGCTTGAAGCCCTGTGTATCTTGACCATGTTCATTCACATAGCTGCTAATTCTCGTAAAACGTTATAGTCAGACAGAATCTTAGAATATAGAACATAGGATGCTTGAGCAAGATGAGCCTTTAGAATATAGAATTTTAGAGCTGGAAGGAGACTCCAAGACGGCCTACCTCAAACTTTTCATTTTACATGCAGGGAAACTGAGGCCCAAAGTCATGAGGTGACTTAGCTAAGGTCAGCCAGCAGAGCTGGGATTAGAACCCAGGCTACCTGATTCTAAGACCATATTTTAAAGTCTTTCCAAGTTTCATGTTCTAAGGTGTCTACAGAGTACTGATTTAGAGTCAGGGGACCTGGGCCTGAATACTAATGTTGCTACTTACTACCAGTATGAGCCTGGGTAAGTGACTTCCTCTCACTAGACCTCTAGTTTCCTCCCCTGCCTCATAAGGGAATGAGACCAGATGACCTCTAAACTCTTTTTTTAAGGCTTAAGTCCTATGACCTCCAGCTCTGGCTATCTAAGATGAGTCTATGAGGAGGTCCAAATTTCTGCCAGGTTTTTGCCTCTGGCTCAAGACTCAGTGTCTCCTCCCACATTCTCCCTGTCATCATTCCCAGGAGGAGCCTGGTTCCTGCCCAGACCCACCAGACACCCAATGAGCAGAGAAGACTCTTTCAGCCCAAAGGGATCCGATCCCTGAAGCCTGGGGACATTCCATTCATAAAGACTGGGGACATTCCATGTCCTGGGCTGCTCCCTGAGAAACTGGAGACAGTCACTATGGTTCCAGAAGAACCCTGGAGACCAGGGACAAAATGCTACACATATGTTGTTGTTTAGTCGTTTCAGTTGTGTCCAACACTTATTGACCCCATTTGGGGTTTTCTTGGCAGAGATGCTGGAGTGGTCTGCCATTTCCTTCTCCAATTCATTTTACAGATGAGGAAATTGAGGCAAACAAGGTTAAGTGACTTGCCCAGGGTCACACAGCTAGTAAGTATCTGAGGACCAGATTTGAACTCAAGTCTTGTTGACTTCAGGTCCAGTGCTCCATCCACTGCACCACCTAGCCATACATGTAGTCTTCAGCAAAGGGTCATGGGGGACTCAGGGCTGTCCTAAGGAGTGAATGAATGGGAATGGTCTGAGGTTTGACTGTTTTTATCTATCTTTGTATCTTCCTTGTCCTGCTTATCGTTCCCTTCCCCCCAGTAATTTATTGGTTTTGGAGATGAAGACTGACACTTTTAGGTGCATGACCCTGAAACCCTCCGTTTTTCTTCTCTGAGCCTCAGTTTTCTTACCTGTAAAATGAGGAGAATAATAATGGCAGCAACTGCCTCAGAGAGTTGTGGTGAGGAAAGTACTTTGTAAACTACTCTAATAGT